TCCTCTGTAGTTTGGTGGAGGGACAAATTAGCCCCATGTTCTGGGTGAAAACACCATTTATCTCCTCTGCCTCTTATTCAGACAAAGACGGGACACACTCCGTGTGAGTGAGCAAGATGGAGGGGTAGAGCAAAGTCAGGTGGGGTGGGAGGGTGGGGGAGTATTTGACTATCAAAATGATAATTGTGGGCAGTGATCAGTCAGGACAGAAGTGACTTGACTGTCAGTCCTTCATTACAGAGGACGCCATAGTCTGAGAGTTGAAATTCAAGTCATCATTTCAGTTGTACTAGTGGAAGTGCTGCAGTCGACCCTCCAGTGAAGAAGAGCTCAGTGGCACACACTCAGGTCTAGCTGACTGACCTGGAATGTCTGGATTCCTGTCTCCTAGTCTTTTTGTGTGTCTCCTGACACAAATAAGTGGGGCAAAATGGAGGCAGCTATGGCCGGGGCCCCTCTCCACGTGTGTGGTGCTGGATGACTTAAAGGATGGAGGAGGGGTGGAGGATGCCTTGTGTTTTACTCACACTTGCCTCAGAGGGGGTGAAAGGTGAAACATTCCTGCCTGAGCGGCAAGTGCCTGGGAACTGAGCTCCTCACTGTGTTTTTCTCAGTAAGGAAAACATCGGAACAAGTGTTTGAAGGCAGCTGCAATGAATCATCCCTGTTAAAGGAGAAATAATCTTCAGTCCGAAAGATAATCACACTGAACACTTGACAAACAGGTTTTCTTTTTTACTGCTTCTATTATACAAACATAGAACGGGGGGGGGGGGCAAAGGAGGAACCTATACGAGTGAGTAGAGCTTTCTGAAATCTGTCCATGGCTCCTACTGTCACTCCAGACACTTGTGAAGCAGATCTAAATCTGACTAAAATTGTTGGCTCTTATTTTACAAAATATTATTTCACGTGCAGTGCAACATGTCGGTCAAATTCAGACAAGCCAATTTTGTATCCTAAAACGCCAGTAGTCCCTTGAGATATATTTGAGTCAGTATTAATGAACGAACAAACATAAATCAAGTCAGTCACATTCCTTCAGTGCAGCACATTCCCATTGTTTTGCAGTAGCAGCAGGAAGTTCAGCAGAAGAATGTCAAGTTCAGTAGTGATGTAAGATGTGAGAGCTTCAACTGCTCGACCGTATAACCAGTTAGTCAGACTTGGTATTCATATGGTATGTTGTATCTGAAGAGCTGTATCAACATTTTATTTATTACAGAAAGTCAAATAAGAAAATGTTCAATAAAAGTAAAACTTGTGTGGAACAAGTCCAAAATGGCTCCTTTGGTATAACTAGCGGTAACTCATGACCTTTGACACGTCAAAGAAGGCACAGGTCTTAAAATCTGACCCCATTGAGTGAGCTTTTAGAACTGCTTAGCTACGTGCTCCTACAGTAGGACTTTATTTATAATGAGCCCAGTTTCTTATTTTTAAATATCCCACTGGCAGCGCTGGTTGACCTGAGAGCCTGCAGCAGCTGCTGAAAATACCCGCCTTTCTCCTTTAAGACTTCACACCAAAGCACAGTAACCTGTAGCTTGCGCTGCTATGTAATATGCATGTGTTACACAAGCCCCGCTCTGCAACAAGAGATATTCAGAGCACGTACGCTATGAGCAACAACAGCAGCCCCTCCCCATGCAGAGCGCAATGGAGAAAGAGAAGGGTCTGCAGAGATGGGTGTGTTCTCTGACGTCAATCCCATCTCGCCATCTCCAGTCCCCCCTTTCATTTTTCATCGGTGACTGATTCATACAGTTGGGTGCTGCAGCATAAATCCAGCGCATCACTATCAAAATGAATGGGAATAAATGTTGCATAAAAACCAAGGGGGGGGGGGTGGATTTTTACCGTCAGGTTTGTCTCTTTTGTCCATTGCGTTCCAAAATCGTGCTTCCATCTCCCGAACAATCGTTCTTTTTGTCTCTCCTTTGATTCTACACTTCCTCCCTCCCTCCCACACCTCTTTATTATGTNCATGTAGCCCCACTGACCTATTTTATGGCTCACTGTCAAAGACGGGAGCAGTGTTTACCGCTTAGCGTCGTTTCTAGGTCAGTGGGACAGAGCAGACGTATGCATTCTTCCTTCCTACCCGCCTTTGTGTCTCTCTCACACACACACACTCACACACACTCAGTTTCCTGCAAATTGTGTTCAGATTTGGCAGAATAACACATTTGCTTCTGGCTTAGCCTACGAGTTTCCAAAGGTGTCCACATTCATTTCTGTTCACCTCAGCTCTGCTCCGGTTCTTGAAGAAAATGAGTCAAATAAGAGATGGACGGCGTTCTGCCATAGAAAATCTACATCCACACCCTGACCCTGAACGTAGATCAGCCGTCTAACTGCTGTGACACGTGAAGATAGCAGCAGACTTTGTGTTTTTTTGTGTATGTGTAATCATAATAAGAAGACATGACCACTTTATCTTTTACATACTGACCGAGGGACGGCAGGAGACACAAGACATGTCCTATTTTACAGCTACACCCTACATCCTGCATCCTACAGCACAGACAGTGTGAAGTGAAATCTTAAACTTAATCATGAAAAAATCTGAATTAATGTCATGAGCAAAGTTTGACCTTATGAAATCATGGACATGTCCAACTTTTTTAAAATGTGCAAAAACACAACAGAGAAGTTGCAGATGGTTCTACCTGGCAGGTGGAGCACAGACGAGGGTTTAAAGTGAAATGGGTTGAGTGGCTTGATCCAGTGTGGTGCCCCCTGTAGGAAGGAATTGAAAATAAATTAAAACATTTTTCTGTTGTTGAGCAAAAAAATAGATCAAAGATAAACTCAAATGATGTTTGATGAATTATTCAAAATCTTAATGTCCCTGATGTCCTCCCACGTACACTGTTTAAATACGAATGTTTTTAAGTAACGAGGAAAACTAGGCTGCTGAAATCACTGGTAATGAAACAACTTCAAGTCTGGGCTCCCATTATTTCCACAGTTGCAAAAGAAAAATGACGCCACCAGTTGAGTCATCTCACACACGCACACACACAGTGACCTAGATTTCTGCATTCCTTGTGTGTTTCAGTGATTGTGTACTTGATTTGTTGGTGTTTCTGATGGACTCCAGTGAACACTGTAGTGGTGTGTAATGCACTGAGAGAAGTGAAAAAGAATATACAGACGCAGCTATGATTATTATATAATCCTCCAAACATCCTGTCCTTGTTGTTGTCGTTAACTCAGAGCTAAGTGTCTATTAGGTGGCTAGAGCTTCCTCTCAGTGTTGACATAAAAGTAAGAGGGTTCGGCAAACTTGTGGTGTTGTGTCATTTTTAGACGCTGCGATAGTTACCACAGGAAAAAAACTGAGCCATTACAGCTGTGATGTAGATCTTCCTGCCCGCACAGCTCTGAACACAGATGTCTGTCCAGATGTGCAAGTAAAAGAATGACTCCTAAAAGCCTGGTTTAGCCCCTTGTTTCTTCTCAGTTTTGATCACTGTTTATAAGAGATGTAACATTCACAATAGTATTCGTTTTTACCAACATACTTAACATAAATAAATGAATGATTCCTCCCTGAATTGGACTCAGTACAAACTAGGTCAACTGAGGTGTGGCAGTGGAAGCAGCACTAACACATGACGTAAAAGAAAATGACAAAGTTCAACTTTATGAAACTTTTCTTAAGACTTTTCATCTTTAACCAAATAGGACACACACTGAACTATAACATAAATTGTTGCAATTGGATGCAAAACACATTTACTCATGTCTGTTCTCTTTTTTCTCCTCCCTTTCCTTTTTTCTCTCCCCCCTCATAAACCAGGTAGTCGTCAGCAAACAGCAGCACTGAACCAGCGGCCTAAGGGAATCCCTGTGATCACACTCCGACCTCTATACTGTTGAACAAGGAGAGAAGAAGAGCAGCAGCCTGACCACTGTTCTGCTGCTAACTTGGACAAAAACAATTGAACTGAAGTTTGTGTGGAAACACATCGAGAGTGTGAAAAACCTGCTCTGCAGACTTGACCAGACAACCTTAGGCTCTGTGTTCAACACCTGAACTTATTTATCCTCTTGGTCATACACAACACAAGTTCAATGTCTAAGATTTTTGTGGAATTCCACCTCTTTTTAATCTTCCTGGCTAATTTGGACACTTGAACGTCGTCTTCTTGAAGAATACGCAGCAGAAATCAATGAGGCTTTCCCTAAAAGTAGCACAAATACCTCACCAAGTATATTTTGCTGATCCTGCGACATAGGCCTAAACACCTAGTGAGAAAGCCGAAGGCTCTTATTGTAAAATTTGTTTTTATTATCCCTCCCCCTTTGCCCTTTGCTAGAGTCATACTCTGGCCCCCAAAAATGGAAACTTTAAATCTGCACCTCCAATCCACCAGCAACAAGAATATCATGGAAGCAGACAAATTTTCCTCCTTCAGTGAGGACCTCCCATCCCCAGATCCTGAAAGTGGAGGGCGAATCAGCCGCCAGTCTAAAGGTAGCAAACCTGGTTTGTCTTCTCGCCGCAAGAGAGAGTTTATATCTGATGAGAAGAAAGATGCTTCATACTGGGAAAAACGGAGGAAGAACAATGAAGCCGCCAAACGCTCGAGGGAGAAGCGTCGTCTTAATGACATGGTGCTGGAGAACCGAGTCATGGCACTGAATGAGGAGAATGTTCGTTTAAAGACAGAGCTCCTTCAGCTTAAGTTGCGCTTTGGCCTCATTAGCACAGCATCCTATATGGAGAAAAGCCAGCAGATCTCTAACAGTACTGCAGGTGGCAGCACTGGTAGCAATGGGAGCAGCAGCAGCAACAGCACACCAAACGTTAACACCTACCTCTCAAGCAGTGGGTACTCCAGTGCATCCCAAGTGATGCTCAATTCTGACTCATCAGAACCTGAGCAGTCCAGCAGAGGCGAGCGCCACTCTACGCTCCCCAACTACTCTCCCAGAGGCTCCGTCTCCGATATGTCAGACGGATCCTCCAGTCCAGAGCCCATGGGCTACAGCATAAAGACAGAGCCCTCAAGTTTGGAGATGACCAGGCTGGAAAGCAATGGAATTCCAGAGGGATTTACGAATGGGATGCCAAGTGTGACTTACCAAGGCAGTCATAGTGCTCTGGTTTCTCCTCACCAGCAAAACACCCTGCAGGCTGACAGCGCCATGGACTACCAACTGCACCAGCAGCAGCAGCTGTCCAGCATGGAAGCGTCAAGCCCTGCTCCTCAGGCCACTCCTGCTCAGAGGAGCGTCATCTTGTATCGTTCCAGCAGCGGCTGTTATCCCATGGAAAGTCAGAGGGTCGAAGACCAACAAGTACAGCAGAGGCCCAAGTTCTCTGACTGCTCAGTGACCATCACTGAGGTGGCAGAGAAGTTGGAGAGGACAAAGACCTTGGACTCGCCTCAGTATGACTACACCAATGCTCACTCTGAAGCAGCAGAGGAAATGCAGCAAACGTTCAACCCCAGCAGTCAACAGCAGGACGACATTCACCGTCACTACAGCTGCCAGATCCGGGAGAACAGTTCTCAGCATGCAGGGAGCAACCAGAACCCCTTCGCCCCTGATCTGATCCACAATGCTGAGGAGGCCAAGTCCTCCTTTACACAAAACAATGGCTACCTCAACACACTGGATGAAGAGCCCCCGGTGCTCACCTACGAGGGAGGGCCCCGGGCCGAGGGCTTTTATCAGGAGAGCTCCTCCACTAAAGACACTTCCTCCAGCGATGGAGATCCACGTAGCTCTGACAAAGAGGGTTCCACTGATGACGAATCCCCTTCCTCATCCTCCTCTGACATCAGCAGCTACTATCAGAAAGCAATGGGAGCTCCTGGTCCAAACGGAGAGTGCCAAGTTGAGATCAAAGGCACAGCCCTGCCTCACAAGCTCCGCCTCAAGTACAGAGCATTGTCCAATGGGGCATCAAGAGCCCAGGTAGACGGCACAGTTATTGCTCCCATGTCCCCTTCACCCACCTTGCCTCAGCATCCTTATTTAGCACTGTCCCATAACCCAAACATGAGTCAGGCCAATACGGAGAATGAAACTGAGTTTTCCAGGGAGGACAAACGCCCTGGGAACGAGAGAGCAGAGGTGAAAAGAGAGGGAGGCAAAAAGGGATCCAGCAGCGGGAGGGGTGGACGCCATAAGAGGCGAGAGTAATGATGGAAAGATGCAGCTCGAACATTCTTGCATCACCTCTTTCTCATTACAACTACAGCTACACTCTAAACCTGAATCAGTTCACAGATCCAGCTCCTGCTGGGATCCTTAACAGGGTATTTAAAAAAAAAACACTTTTCAAATGTAAAGTAATTAAAACCAGGGATTACATTAAATTTAAATAGAAATCTTTGGTAATTTTACTGTAAAATAAATGTCTGTAAATGCATTTGGAATTTGGATGTTTGACTTTTCCAAATATATGGAAATATTTTTTCGCTTGTTGTGATATACCACAAATTGCCTGACACAATGACTCCAATAGTGGGCAGCCTAAGTTGTGAGTGACACTTTTGATCCAAAGTTTTCTTATGTTATGTATTCTATTTGAGTGTGGCCTACACCGTTATAGTCTGGCACTGTAACTACTGCCCAGCCTGACATCTAATATTTGCCCCACAGTAAAGGAAAGACAATAACACTACGTTGTACTGTAGCTCAATGGCTAAAAAGGCTTCCGATTCAATTTTTAATTACACGTCATAACTGTTTTACAAAATGGTTACATACTATAAAAAGTCGTAAACTACCGAATATATATATGATTACCACTAAATATGAAAAGAATCAGAAAACTCTGTCTCCTGGTTGTTACACTACATTTTTCCACTGAATGTTGAACCTTCAGGTTTACAGTGTAGGTCTGACCTTGTTATAATTCAGGACTGAAGTATGTTTCACGTCAGTGTGAGAAGTTAATGAAACAAGTGTCACTGTGTCACTTCTCTCCCTTTACTTTTCTCCTACCTCTCACTTTTATTAGAAAGAAAAGATTGAGTGGAACTCACTGAGGTGTGAAATTATTCATTCATCATTCATTACTGCCTTGGTGACTGGTCAGAGTTTACTGTGGCATCGTGACCAAAGATACACATCCTTCTGGGTTTAGCAAAGAATGACGTTGGTCCTTCCTCTGAACCATAGACTGTATATAAAAAACAAATGTAGCCATTGTGTTGCAAAAGTGACGCCGCTGCAGAAGACTGGATGTGGGTCACTGGTTTTGTAAAGTGGATAAAGCGACTTTTAATTCACATCCACATCAGACACATTTCCTGAAGCATTTATGGTCTGGGTCACTGGTTCCAGACCATCCTTAATAAATCATGATGTCAGCTCTTATATCATTTAGCAAAAATAAATAAATAAATAAAAAGTTACTTTATTACTGTGCCCCAAGTTGGCTTTAGCCATCTTTGCACCCTAGGCGAGATTGAGGATTGAGGCTCGCTGTAAACCCAGGGATTACAGCAATGCCCACTCCAGCAGATGGCGCACTAAGCGACTGCCTATGTGGCCTATGCCAAGAGCTGGCTCTGACCAGTACCTCAAAAACTAGCGGATCCGTTTAAGTTTACTTTCATGGCTTTAGTAAGGCTTTTAGTAACTTCTTTTTTTTTTTTCCAATCGATCGTTATTTTAACGATGATCTTATTATATACGTCTAATGCTCTGAACCTATGACAAACTTTACGACGATGATCCCGCACCCTTTGGCCCCACACCAGCCCTTATTTACTTCTGAAGCACTTAGAATGTATATTACTGTGACATAAATTTACATATAATGAATATATATATTTTAAGAAGAAAATGTTTTGTGGTAAAAACTACAAAAAAAAAATAAAGTAGTGGCATAAGGAAGTTGTGAACTTAAAAGTGAGATTGTTCTTGTGGAGACACCAGGTATTGCATTCATTAAAATAATAAATAAAAATGCTTTTTTCCCCTAAATGGATAATATAGACCGCACTTTTAGTGCAGTGTCATGTATTAATTTTTACATTGAAAATGTTTTTTTTTAATCCCATTCAGTAGTCGGTACTTGTTGGCCTTCAATTAAATTGTACAAATTTGTAGGATTTCTCCTTTACGTAAGGGACAAACATTTTTTATCAGTTATTATATTATTACCATAAAGTTAATAAATCAATAGGTTGAAGATGGGTTTATTTAACTCTGTTAATTCAAAATTTTGAGCATTTTTATTTATTTATTTTTTTCCTATTTGCATGCAGTTACCTTGTGTGTCTTTATTCTTGGCCTCAAAAATGATTCTTAGAAATTAAGCCTCAACTCGAACAAAACTGAAAAAAAAAAAGACTTTGGTTTGTGGTTCTGGTGAGCCCAGGTGTTTGACACTGTTAAAACAGTCTCAGCCACTTACTGTCGCATCAGTCAAGGCTATGCAGTCACACAGCTGTCGGCAGATCCTGACAAACACACACAGTGTCATGTTTGCCAGCTTTTTGGCAGAAAAAAAAAATCAATACATCTGTCTTTTCCAGACAGCAGTCGTCTGGCTAATATCTCTGTAGTCGCCACCAGCAAAGCTGCTCTCTCTTTCTCTTTCTCTCTCTCTCTCTCTTTTTCAGGTGCCTCTTTATTGTGTTTGTCCCTCGTCCCCTAACTGACTGACCCTCACTCACCTCTGCACTGAATTGTTTTTGCTCCAGTAGCTGCAGTAAGTCTCACAGACTGTACATGTTTGACTCTCACTTCCTGGTGCCTGGTCACTGTGTATAAATGTAAAGTCTCTCTCTCATTCTCTCTCTTGTAAACTGCTGTCATTATTATTATTTTATAACTATTTTAATAATATTGTTATTTTCTATGATATTCTGCTGTTATTTTTGGATATTATTATTGTTGTTGTTGTGCTTGTTGTTCTTACATGTATTTTTCCCAACTTCCTGTCGTGTCTTTTTGCCCCCACTATTCCTGGTTGTGCTGTGTATTTGACCCTTTGCTGAACTTTGACCCCATTCACCATTTGTACTACGTGTTACTGTGTAAACTTTGCTGTTTGCCGGAAGTCTTTCCAACTTTGGAAAAAAAATGAATTGAAAGCTTGTCCAGAAGTAATTTTGTATTTGCTATACTTCACATGGATATGCAGAATGGTTATAATGGAAGAAAAAAAAACCTCATTTTTGAATGTGAACCATTCAAAGTGGGGGGAAATAAAAAGGTTGTTGACTTTACAGATGTGTCAGAAGTGGAAGTTTTTGAGTCATTTTTATGAATCAGCCTGAACTGGGCTCTCTCCCTGTCTCTCTCTCTGTCTTTGTTTCTCTCATTCACACCAACAAACTGCTTTTTGTAAAGCCAGTGCATAGACATAATATACTAAACATCAAAAGAGACATATTTAAAAAATATATATCAAAATAAAATTCTGCCTTAAACACATTTCTACATATATAATGATGACAGCAATATACAGAAAACAAATTTTTGTCTTATCTAGTAAGGTTTATCTTAGTCCTAGTTAATAAGATTAACCGCAATGGTAGTTAATCATGACTAATCATGATTGTGATTGTAGTTAATCACGATTAATTATGATCATATTGTGATTGTAGTTAATCACGATTAATCATGATCACGATTAATTATGATCACGATCACCGCAAATCCAAATAAAAAAAAAATCATTTCAAATCATTTTAAATGACAAGCCTAATAAAAACACAAAATATTACTTTTGTTCTTTTTCATGTATTTATTTATGTATTTCTGATCATTTAACTATATCGATAAAAAGTAATTGACCAGAATAAACATTAAAAAAAAAAATCAAACATATGGATTTAAGCCTGGCTTGTCACAAAAAATAAAGCGTCTTTAATGTGTGTGACATCAAAGTCACTCTTTTCCGTCACTGTGTTGTTTTAGTGTGAATTCAAATGGACAGCTCTGGTTTCTCCAAAGTTAAAAGTGGGTCATAGCACGTCATTGGCTTAGTGTTGGTTACAGAAGATTCAAAGCTGGAACAGTTTAATTCATTGCACAATAGTTTGCTCCCCTTTTCTCCTCCTCCGTCTCCCCCACTTTCTCCTCTCAGCAGGAGACCGTTCAGCTGTGAACACTGCAGCTAACTAACGATCGTTTCAAACATCGGTACAGCAGGAGCTAAACGGCACCGTCCTCTGTGAGAGCGTCACGATCACGCACTGACAATAATTTGGATTATAAAACACACGTGCACATATGTGCACGTATCACCACAAACACACAGGCACACACTCAGTCCCTTCTTTTCCACCCTGGCTGTCCCTGTGCTGCTGACCTACATACTGCAGCATCCATGTTACATAACCCCCCCCCCCCCCCCCCCATTACACACACATTCACTCACTCATATGCACAAACACACACATGCACTAATCCCCTAGTTTCACTTGTTTTCAAGGGGATTTTTCACATGTAGTCATATTCCTACACCCACACACCTGTGCGTTTGTTTTTAGGACAAATGTCAAGGTTTTTATGTCACATTTACAAAAACACAAATGGACATACATGAATTTCAGTTATACTTTTTAGTGCCCGTAAATGATATAATAATAATAATAATAAATCATTGCTCATAACACACACACACGACATAACACAGTCTTTAGCAGGTTGAATGGAGTGAGACTTACCTGCGGGTCATGTGACCTACTTAGGCTGAGCCTCCGTCTGTTTCATGGTCTTGACATTTGTTACCAGTTCACCTGCAAAGAAAGTTTATCTGTGATATTTGAACTTCTTCTTCGTCTTTTTTGAAGTGTGTTACAGGCATTAATTTCAAAATGTTCTGTTGAACCAAAAATTAAAACACAGATAAAGGTTTTCTTTGATGAAATAGAATTAATTATGTGTATGTTTTGTTACTAAGGGGACTGAGAATGACAGAGAGACAAATGTGTGTGAATAAGAAGAGAAAAATGAAAAGTAGGTCAATGTTTTTCTTTTGTTTTTGCAACTAATATTTATCGTCAGTTTCCGCTCTCACTGTTTGTCTGTTTTCATGGTTTCTTACCTGTGCTGCAGCTTTGTTTACACGTTAACTCCACAACCAGGATCCAGTTCCTCAAATAAAGCTGCATGGACAAGTGTCAACAACATTAGCTCCGAGTTCAAGACAGTGTAGAAACACCTTCAGTGTGTACAGTCACCACTGACCTTCACAAATGTCGGGTCTTTGTCCAATTGGTCGGTGAAAAAAAACAAACTAATTTTAAACGTCTTTGGTTTTCTCATTAACTACTGTTTGTCATCATGTCACTATTTCACTGCTGCTGGCTAACTGTAGGCTAACTCTTACAGCCTGATCACTGTTTGGCTAGTTCTTTGCTAGCTTATGGTTCTGTTGTGGCATCCATTTTAGGCCGACATAGGTTTTAGAGCATGTTAGTTTGGTTTTTTTAAGAGCGTGTTGGAAACTTAACGTCGTACACAGACCGTGAAACAGCAGCAGTGGACCGTTTGGAGATAAAACCACCGAGACACAGGCTGTAACCTAGCTGTACAGGGAACCCTCTGCTATCGCGGTACTTGCGTTCCAAGACTCACCGCAAAACGGGAAAATCCGCGAAGTAGAGGCGGGATACTTTCTATATTATTTACGTATATACAGTATTTACCCTTTACGTACCTCCCTCCACCCCGTTATCAACCCTCCCTAGACTGTGTTTCCCATTCCCCACACAATTATATGCACAGTACAGTTGTATAATGGAACGGCGAAGGCCAGTGCTCAGCTGCTGGAGGGAGAGCACGGGGGTAGTGACGCAGGTGCAGCCCCGGACGCAGGTGAGCACAAATCGAGTAATCAAAGGCGAGGAGATTGAAGTGCATACTGGTCAAGACGGACTGGCCGTATATGAAAGCCGGGCACAGCGCAGGAGCGCACATTATTATGAAGAAAAATAAAGACTGTTAACTTTCGTCTGTGTCAGAGTCTTCGTTTGGCCTTCGTAACATGAGATGATCCGCGCATTTAGGAGGCATCATGGGCGTTATCTTTTTCATTATTAGGGCCAACTTTCACCAAACACAAAAGCACAAACGTTACAGCAACGTACCATGTAACGGCGAGTGGCGGACAGACAAGGGGAGATGCTGAGAGATGCTACGATGCATGAGCCAATCAGCGTGAGGGACACAATGCCGTGTTCGATCTCCCCTGGGTAAACAAAGATACCAGCGATTTTTGCTATATTTCTAATATTTTAGGTTACAAAATCTTTTTTATCACGACAATAATGGAATTAAAAAGAAAATATTTACCGTAAAATACCGCGATATAGCTAAACGGATTAAAAAATGCGATGCGATGTCCTGAGGGAGCGAAAGGTGAACCGCGATATAAAGAGGGGACACTGTATTTGATTATTTTACATGTAATAAACAAATACTTTTGAGAACAAATGATAAGGTGTCCAAACAATAAGAGAGTTGTGTCTTTTCTGAGACTGTATCTACAGAGGTGTGACCAACATAACAACAATTGTTCAAATCAAAGCAACTACAAAGGGAGATGTAAGGTATTTTCAGGCGTCTTTGTCCCAAATCTGATCTTATTTCTGCAGTGAAGTTCCACAGAGATGTGATCTGTGTTCATGTGTGTGCTACTGACCTGCTTTTCATACAACAACAAGAGAGCGGAACGGAGGGGGAGAGCCCGGGAGAGGGGGAGTTTAATGAAGTTTACACAATCAGGGCATGTGACGTAACCCTCCCATCTCCCTCCCCCCTTCACTCCTACTCTCAATAACTCTTTCTCTCTACTCAACCTTACCCCTTCCTCCCCCGCCCCTCCCGGTCCCTCCTTACTGACCTACTTTCCTTCATTTAGCAGTGTTTTTTTCTTCACAAGCCTCTGCACGATTCATAACAGCCCAGAGAGGAGACAGAGGGGGGAGAAAAAGACGAGAGAGAAGTGCCATTCAAAAACACTGTAGGAGTCTCCTCAACATCACCCCGTTACTGTAGCCTGCTAGGGACAGGAGGGCAGCACTCTGTAAGTGTGTGTGTGTGTGTGTGTGTGTGTGTGTGGTCAGCTGCTTCCTGCTGCAGGAAGTTTCCTGTTGCCATGCACGACGGTGGATTGCACAACAGCTGGCCGTCGTCCGTGGGGTAATGAAACTCTGAAGGTGATTCACCTGTTCTCCAGTGCAGTGAAGTTCTGTGGTTCTGCCCAGATGGAACAGTTCCTCTTATCTAACGGACCCACTGCGCTGTAATTGCTCTTATGTAAAGGCTCACTCTGCCCCTGTCAACTGTCCGATCTGTTAGCTACTGTTCCATCAGCGGCGGGGTCAGGGGGGAGGCTGCCTCACACACTCCTCTCCCAACACCCAGCTGCTGTTGTGTAACTTGTTTTCGCTGGTTGCTCACTCATTCGCTCTGCCTTTCTCTCTTTTTCTCTCGGCTCTTGACTTGACTTAATGGCATTGTGTAACTGTTATTTCACCACAGTATGCAGAGCAATAATTACACAACGTCACCTTTGAGCTGGACTGTTCTAGAATCAGGATGTCCCTGGATCCTCTGGAGAGGAAATTAAAGTGTCTTAAGAAAAAAGGGTTTGAACTACATAGAGAAAGACCAGCAGTGACCTTCTAACTGTAAGGCAAGAGCACAAATCACTTGGCGGACCATGTGACCATTTCTCCGTTGTTTGACACCATCCCTAAACAAGTAAACCAGAGACTAAGCTACAAGTATGAGCCATACTGTAGTGATTTGTACTTCAGTAATAAAGTTTCACTGTAATAATCCTTCATGTTTTATGAAATAATGAATATAGTTTGCTGCCGTTTATATTCACAGAAAATCAAGTGTCTATAAAACAGATCAACTCTTCAAATAAGGCACAAATACTACAGTGAATCAATCATTGAGAGTATTTGCAGTGAGTGGACATATAGTACTGTAGTACTAGGACAGAGAGACTGCAGTGAACTGGAGCACAGCTAATAATACACTGTGGAAACGGTGATACTGCATGATGATCGAAGTATTTTAGACATTTTCCTCCAGACTCTTCTCTGTGAATGTATGAGGTTTAGTCACACTGTGGTTAAAAGGCCGACCCAAACCAGACCAGAATTCCCGAACGCAGTTCAGTTTTTTTTTTGTATCCAGCCACGAAAAATGTGGCTCAGCTCTCACACCCCTGCAGGAAGTCAGAGGGAGAAAATCGAGTCTGGTGCAGGACACGCTGCGCCCGGTGGACACATGCAGTCACTGCTGCCGCTGACCCTCAGTGCTACGTAAAATAGGTCAGAACATGGAGACAGATGATTTAAGGAACGTTAACACCCGTGACACAGACACACACACACACACACACACACAGTCACAGCAGCCTGCTGATACATCAGTACGTAAAAATAGGCCAAAGGAAAGCTGTGCATTTCTGATATGAAAAGTAGGCCACCAGGAAAACTCTCTGTGTGTGTGTGTGTGTGAGAGAGAGAGAGAGAGAGAGAGAGGAATGAATCAGCTCCTCGTTATGCAATACAAAACCACCCTGGGGTCTTATTACCATATCTTCAGCTACAGGAAGTAGCCTGTTGGTGCATGTGTCCAAATGGAAGCTCCTGACTGTCATGATCTTCAGCTGAATTTATCTCTTTATTTTCTACCTTTAACTCAGAGGAAATGACTTCTTTTTTTAGGTGAGGGGTCATTCTAATAATGTTAAAGGTTCAACAGGACTCAACTGCTGCACCCGTAGGACTAGATCTGAACTGCACTAAAACATTGAGCACCAAGTCTGCCGCTTAATTTGTGGAATTACTTCACCCTATAAATGAATACATTTGTGGCAGTTGTTCAATTTGACTGGTTTTATATAAAAACAATAATTTAAATCATTTGATGTAAGAAAAAAAAACAGCATTTAATCTCAAAATCATAAAGCCTCCTGCATTGCCTCTATGTACTGCAAGGGGCCACGTACCCCAGATTGGTTAAACTGCTGTGTCAGATAGTTAACACATAATTGCATGGTAATAAATGAACATGTGATTACATTTCAACCCAGTTATAATGGTCTGGTGATGTATGTAAGAAAACAACAACTATTTTTTTATTTTTTTATTTTTTATTTTACAGGTTAGCGAAAAGCATCTATTGTGACAAACCTAAAGTAAAAATCCTGGGTTTTGTGTGTGTTTTCCTCCGAGCTGCTCAACTATTACTGATGTTCCACGAATTATGTGTTAAAGTTTATTTCTTGCATTTAAATTTAGTTCCTAAAAGTCTGGCTAACTGGTGATCTGAAATGACATCTTTACATATATACCTCATTATTTTCTCCTATTGTTAAGTTAGCAGTTGTTTACAGACATGTTCTCATTGGCCGATGACAGCATCAGCTGACATGTTTGAACTGAGCAGAGTTTCCCATGAAGCTGTGGGAGAGCTCTGACTCAGGTGGTATGAATGCCATCCTATGTTTTCTGTGTGAAAAAAAGAAAAAGAAAAGATTCATATTTGCCAGGCTTTTGTGCGTTTGCTGCGCAAATATTTCCTCTGACACCAGAAAACCATGAATGAACAAACACGCTCCGAGTGCTGGGCTTTAAATCCAGACTCACTGTATGAATATTTGAAGTGGAAACCTCAGTGCAGATCAATAGAGTAAATTAGCCACAGATATAAAGTCCACCTGCCTTTGTAGAAAAACTACAAACAGGACAGCAGTAAACGTCCAGATCATGTTCCCGTCTGAGTTGTATTTTAGTATATTTAATGGTGGGGATGAACAGTGAGAACCTATTGTAGACACTGAGTGAAGTTTTACTCTGGAAGAAACAACAAAGGTTCTCTGTTCTACTGGGGTTCTATTTCTGATTGACTTCAAAGGCACATAAGATGATACTTTTACATCAATATATATATATATATATATAAACACACATATATGTAAGATCTAAAAAGTTTTTTCCATTTGTGTGTGTGTGTGTGTGTGTGGTAACCTTCAGTCCATTATGGCGGTTATTAAGTAGATTAACTTCCTTTAAATTAGTCTCAGACATTTCTTCCATCTGTCTCCTGTTACACCACAGAGCTGCTAATGTACAAATACTACACAACAACAACACACACACACACACACACACAGAGAGAGAGAAACAAAGGAGACATAAGAAGTGTGCAAGGATGACCGTATAAGCATGTGAGCGGATCTTCACCTACTGACCTACTGTACTGTGGGCGTGCACGACTGAAGACACACACACACACACACCCACACACACAGAGTTGACTTCACAGGCTTGCAGTACTGTCACTGTAGACACACTCATGATTACCCTCACACACACGCCCACGCAGGCTTACATAAGCGCACACACACACACAGACAGTTGTCCATAGATGCCTATACTGTATGTTGCTGTGCATGCCCTCACACACACACACATACACACACACACACACACACACACACAGACAAATGTGTGTGACAAAACAAATGTCCACAGACTAATCTGTGATTAGTCCTGGTTGTCGTCCTCAGCTGAGTGAACAGGAAACATGCAAGTGTGTACAGTAGTGGACAGACGAAGAGCAGAGACACAAGACTCTGGACAAATACTGTTCTGACTGATAAGAATAAAAAAGTCCTCCAAAAACGTTGGTTTCATTCTCCTGACCTGCTCAGGTCTGAATGTAGGTCAAAGTTCAGTCTCAGTATATAAATAACTGATCCAAGAAAATGGAACGTCTGAAGATTTGGATTACTGGTCAGTTGGTTCTGAGGACTTGACAGACAGAGGCTGTGAAAGTTCACTACAGTAGTACTGAGCATGTACTGTATACTGTGAAATGTACTGCAAATTCAGAGGGTTTGGGACAACTAGTCGTTGGGACGATTTAAAACACTAAAAAATCTGAACCTTTAGATTCTAATGAATTGGACCACTGTTTACCTGCCACGCCTTCCTGACAAGAAACGGACATAACTGACTACATGTCAAATGTTGCCCTGATTTGACTTTGTCACTGTCTGTGTTTTTTCTCATCTGGTTGTTTTTAATAATGGAATTCATTTCCTCACCGTCGTGGCGTTGACCCACATAACTGTAACCTGTTCAGTTTTTGTTGTGTTTCAGATCGTTGACTTGGTTTTTGACAAAAAATGTCAATTCAATTAATCCAGTCAAATGTGTTTCTGTGGCTGAATTTGCATTTCATACAAAACTAGCTTTATTTAAACTAGCCATTCAGTAAGATCACAGTATGATTCAATGTATAAATCCTACATTTTATACCAAAAATATTCCTACTGGTGCTTGCTACTCGGGGCTGACCATGACTATCTCCTTCCTCTGAAACTGAGTGACATAGCTAACTAGAGATTTGCAAAGAAAAACACATTGTGAAATTAAATCAAAAGTAGCTAAAGGGCACTGTTTGACTCGGTGATCACTGCAGTGACTCTTCCTCCTCATTATTGTTTACAGCTTCAGTATCTAGACAAATATCAGATCAGATCAGCCAAAACTGAATAGTGAAAACTTAATGGTCTGGGATGATGAGCCAAAAGACTGATCTCAGCTCTTCCTTAATACAAATGCCTTAAGGAAAGTGAACTACTGGTCATTGTGACACAGCACACCTCTGCAGCTTTAAGTGCCCGGGGAGCAGTGTGTGGGGATGGTGCCTTGCTCAGAGGACCTCAGTGTTAACTTGGCAGCCAATGGACTCAAACCTGAAACCTTCCAGACCCAAGTCCGCTTCCACTTAGCCACCACTGCCACCACTTAAGAAAAACACATGGTTTTTTTGAAGCAGCCAAATAAGTAAGAGTATTAGAAAAATGTCTTAAATGACATTAATTTACCCTAGTTCACAGTCCTGAGGCCCTCACACAGCTATAACACACTGACTGGGCCCTAACCCTAACTATTACAAACACCCATCTAATCCCACTCCTTACACTCCCTCTAATCTGACTCTAATTCTAATCTAATCTTCAATCTTAAACCTCAGAATATTCTCTCATTCGCTGCTGACCTGGACAATGTCCTGAAAAGGACAAAGAGTTCCCTCGACATCAGTACTTTTCAAAACATTGTCAGCGCAAGTATAGCTATAAAAACACACAAACACACACAGGCACACCTACAAATAGTTTCACCAGCAACAATACTGTTTTCACTTCCTTTTATGCCAATCACCTTCATGATGTGACATCATGTGACCCTAAACAGGAACCACCTCTGATGACCTCATGATCTAATGATAAAAGAAACAAGTTAAACCTGAATGGAAACACACAGCTGCTGCTGCTGCTGCTGCTGCTGCTGAGGGCATTACATGAACTCATATTTGACTTTTGGCTCAGTCAGTGCTGGCACTGAGTCTTATTGTCTCTGGGGACATGAGTTACTGTCCAACATTTCTCACAGGGACAGCTAACAAAGACACATCCACCTCCTGACCATCATCATCAGGCAGCAGTAAACAGACTGGGTGATAGACGTCCTGGTTTCTATCATCACTGCAGTGATTCCAAAACAAACGTTTTTTGCCTCCAGCTTCATTCCAGCACCGACAACAGATGAATCAAAGAGAAAAGAAATTACAGCCGCTTCTCAGAGGGAACCTGGGATGAACTCCCTCTCACACACATATTCACACTCAACCCTCTCTCTCTCTCTCTCTCTCTCACACACACACACACACACACACAGCAATCGTCCAAATGCGGTGGAGTCTGCTGATGGAGCAGCTTGTGCAGAGGAACAGTTCATATCAGGGGAGAGACCTGGTTTGGCCCCCAGCTCAGCAAACTGGAAGTGTGCGGCAGTGCAGA